AGAACAGAGGACAGGAGAACGTGCAGCTAATTAATTAAATAATGTGGTTCTGTACCTTTCTCTTCAGCACAGCCGACAAAGGTTTATGATGGGTCAGTCCTCCTGCATGCTCAGATCATTCCCTTCCCTTGCTTGAAAAATTGTTCCAAAATGAAAGTTGAACCCACATCTTTTTTATCTGTGAATTCAATGCCGTTCGGCGAGTCTCAAATAAAAATTTGGGCATCTTACTGTAAAAAACATACCATTAATGTAAAAAATAAACTCTAAATGAACTATGTTCACATCCAGAATCAAACCCAGATCTTCTGCATGAGAGTCAGACATCTTACAAGGTGAGCTACACTCTAGTAACATTCACAGTATCTGTAACTTTTATATCCTTGATGACAGCTGAAACAACGTCAAACCAAAGAACGGTTCAGAGTGAAGATGGCTATTTTGTTGCTAATTAGCAGGAAATATCTAGAAGAAAGTTCTACAGAAAGTAGCTAAGGGTCCTCAGAAATGTAGCTAGCTTTGTCACTAGGCGTTAGGAACAGCGACAAAGTGGCACTGCCTCTCTCTCTGCTGCTAAAGCTACGGATAGCAAATGCTACGGGCGATGCCTGAGCGTGAACGCGCATGAAGCAGCCTGCTCGACCCGAGCATCTCTCTTTTTCTGTGATTTTACAGAAAAACAGGCAATCACAGTAAAAATGCCAGGGCTCATTCTACAGGACCAGGGCATTGCAGGAGAACGTATGAAGAAGACATTTATTATTTCTATACATGTTTTGGCCGTCACACTTCCATAATGTCCCTTTAAAGGAAGACGTGTGGTGCGTCAAAAAGCGGCACCTGCTGAGACCCTGTAGGCCCCGCCCACAACGCCGCGGCTGCTGTGGCTCCCGGTGTTTTCTTTACTGGTGGGAAACGGGTAATTTTGGCTCTTTGATTGGAAAAGATTGCCGACCCCTGCTCTCGGCAGACAGACTCGTGTGGATTTGAGCAGAGAGGTGAGAGTTACACCGAGGGGGCGATCAACACAAGAGGAGTAAGATTAAACGCTTTCTGGCACAACACCGGTCTTAAAATGTTCACTATTTCTCGCCACATTTCTTCCACACCTGCTATGTCCCCCCCACATAAACAGTCCGGTTGCTGCACTGCCTTACTTTAGAGTTCCACCTTTAATTCCCCACTGTGTGTTATTAACTATAAATGATTATAAAATGAATTTTGAACGTTGATCCGTTTAAGATGCTGAAGAATCAAACAACCCCCCGTTAGTCTGGCCGTCTCCATAATGGCGCTGCAGGACGTTTTCATACATGCGGCTCCTTGACTCTCAAAAGCCATAACGTATGATCTGATACAGGCTTTTTGTTCAGATCTAACATGGTTGATGAGAAATTCTGCTAAAACAGAACCAGAACTGAACCGCATTGTGTTTGTTTGTTTCAGGAAACATTCCTCTACAGGATGAATATTTCGACAGCAGCTCGCTCCTGTAATACAATCATATTCCCATTCAGCAGCTGAGTCCCAGACTGCAACACGGAGACAAACGGCCATCAGGAACCATCGGAGTCGGACATTTATCTCCTCATAAGTTCAATCTGCTCAGAGGAGAAACATGATCTGACCCGGCCGACCCTCCAGGACCCGGCATTAGATTAGAGAGGGAGGCTGGCGTTTCAGCTAACCAAATCACAGCAGGGCTAATGACACAGAGAGGTGAGGGTCAGTCTGACCTTTGACCTCGATCACCGAACGAGTGGACCCCTGATTCTCCGCATGGAGGAGAAGGAAACGGAAGAGGAACAGAGAGCTCTCTGCTGAAGCTCAGAGCAGAACGTGATCAGAGTTCAGCTCCAAGGACCTGCATGCATCCTCCTCTTCATCCCTGAAGGAGATAAATCCTCACGGAGGGGGGGGGGGGGTCTGTCCAGCAGGGACCTTTGACCTCCCTGGGGTCAGCTCCTCCCTTAGAGGATATGATACCTGTCTGGTTGTAGAACCACAACTCTGTTCTATGGATGGGATTTTCTGCCCAGATTACAGCTGAATTATAGATGGATAAAATTCTAATCTTGGGATTTGGAGCAAAAGAAGAGGGTCTCTGCTTTTTGCAGATGATGTGGTCCTGTTGGCGTCATCAGAACGTGATCTTCAGCTTTCGCTGGAGCAGTTCGCAGCCGAGTGTGAAGCGGCTGGGATGAGAATCAGCTCCTCTAAATCTGAGACCATGGTCTTGAGTCAGAAAATGGTAGAATGCCTTCCCCGGGTCAGGGATGAGGTCCTGCCCCAAGTGGAGGAGTTTAAGTATCTCGGGGTCTTGTTCACGAGTGAGGGAAAGATGGGGCACAAGATTGGCTGCCGCGTCTGCAGTGATGCGATCTGTCGTGGTGAAGAGAGAGCTGAGCCAGAAGGCAAAGCTCTCGATTTACCGTTGGATCCTGTTGTTGTTTTCCTTTGTTTACTGTCCATGTCGGATACCACAGATCTTTACAGCATGTTGTATACGTTGGTCCTCTTGTTGACGGTCTCGTTCTTCTGTTATTACCTTTGTTCAGTGGTATAATGTTCTGGTCACTGACATTTCATGTATGGTAGGGTGTTCTGATGTCCACAGTGGATTAAGGAAGCCACAGAAATAAGGAGACGTGGATATGGGACCGAGAACTGAGGCGATGGGGTCTACACATCAGATCGTGCGTGGGACCGTGCCATCGGTGAGGAGAGCGCCGGCAGCAGAGGGAGACACTGTCCTCTGCTGCCGGCGGTTAAACGGAGAGGGAAGTGACGCCGTCGTTAGCGGCTAGCTCTGAAGAAAACCCCAGGAGTGATCGAAACCGTTAGCAAAAAAAAGGTAAAACAACCTTTCCTGTGTTAAAAAAACAGTAATTAGTTTTACTGTTCATCACATGCAACGCTGAGCGGATCAAAAATGCAAAATTTTACTGCTTTATAACATTTACGGATTAACGGTATCAAAAATAAGTTTTAACTAAAAAAGGCTCAATAAATGATGTTTAATGAAGGAAATTCTTGCCAAGTTTTAAACCCTGAGAGCTTTTGGGGATAATATAAGACTTTGGTTTTTGTTTTCTCTCTCTCTCTCTGTGTGTGTGTGCGTGTGTGTGAATGGACGGGAGGGTGATGTGGAGACTAATAACATCCCTGGACACTGTTGGGGTCATAATTACAAAACCCAGAAACACCTGTGCTTGAGTGTGTGTGCGTGCGTGTGCGTGCGTGCGCTCACACACACGCGTGCATGTGTACGTGTGTGTATGTGTGCGTATGTGCGTGTATGTATGTGTGTGTGCGAGTACGTGTGCGTGTGTGTGCGTATGTGTGTGTGTGTGCGTGTGTGTGCGTGTGTGTGTGTGTGTGTGTGTGTGTGTGTGTGTGTGTGTGTGTGTGTGCGTGCGTGTGCGTGCGCACACACACACACGCGTGCGTGCGTACGTGTGTGTGTGTGCGTGCGTGCGTGTCCGTGCGTGCGCACACACACACGCGTGCATGCGTACGTGTGTGTGTGTGTGTGTGCATGTGTGCGTATGTGCGTGTGTGTATGTGTGTGTGTGTGTGCGCGTACGTGTGTGTGTGTGTGCGTATGTGTGTGTGTGTGTGTGTGTGTGTGCGTGCGTGCGTGTGCGTGCGTACGTGTGTATGTGTGCATGTGTGCGTATGTGTGCGTGTGTGTGTGCATGTGTGCGTATGTGCGTGTGTGCATGTGTGCGTATGTGTGTGTGCGTGTGTGTGTGTGTGTGTGCATGTGTGCGTATGTGCGTGTGTGCATGTGTGCGTATGTGTGTGTGTGTGCATGTGTGCGTATGTGCGTGTGTGTGTGCGTATGTGTGTGTGTGTGTGCGTGTGTGTGTGTGTGTGTGCGTATGTGAGTGTGTGCGTATGTGTGTGTGTGTGCATGTGTGCATATGTGTGTGCGTGCGTGTGGACAACAGGCTAATGTGATGGGTCTATCACCATGGAAACAGCCTGAAGCCAAATGACTTTAGGCCGTCTGTCGTGACTGTCTTGTATTTTTATCTCCTCTCTTCGTCTCCTTCAGACACCTGGTGGTGTTTTCTGACTCTGACCATCTCAGACCCTGGAGGCCTCAGGTGGAAGGTTAAAGGTCAACGTTGGTGACCGGACGATTGAAAAAAGTTTGGTTCTTTAGGAAAAGTTGCAGAAGAAAACCTCGATCCTCTAAAAGCAAAACTTCTATGATGTCATCAGGTTAGGTAAGAACCACTGTGGGTGTACTCAGACTCATAAACCAACACTAGCTTTGTTTCCCCTCTAACAGACAACATTAGCTTAAAAAGAATCAAAACACGTCCGTCAGCAGGAGAGAAGTTAGCTGTGAAGAACGGTACAAATATTTGGTAATGCTTCCTTTTACAGTCCCCTAATTACTAAGTAGTTACATGGTAATTACACAGTAAGTTAAAGTGTTTCATTGTGTAATTAAAGTGTATAATTGTAATAAGGTGTAATTGTTGTGTGAAGCAGTATTTACTGGGAATGATTAATAAAATAAAAAGTAGAATTGAACCTGAGTTACATGGTAATAACTGTTAAAGAACTCAGAAACAATAATACACTTTCACTTACTATGTAATTACCATGTAAGTACTAAGTAATTAGGAGACTGTAAAATATTTGTAATAATCCCACTGACATTTGAAATTCTTACAGAAATAATCCAGCTAAAGATTGAGGACCTTTTCAAATCAACCTGAGGGTCACAAATAGCATCAATTCAGTGTAAAAGTTCAAATCTGATTTCTTTAATTTTACAAACAAATCGCCCGGTTTGCTGCTCAGAAACAGTGAAAGCTAAAGCGAACGGTTGCAGCGTGGAACTTTTGTTTTACAGAATAATCCAAAATGATTTTACTCCTCTGAATTAATCCAACTATAAATTCTTAAAAACAGCCTGAAACCACAAATATCCTGATTCGTTCTTCCCAAAAGCTGGTTGGAATTTCCTTTGTTGTTCCTACCTGCAGTGATGTCATCATCAGTGACGTCCATCTCCTCCTCTGGAGCCTTGGTTTCTATTGGCTGAGCCTCGGGAGGGGGCGGGGCCTGAGGGGAGGCTTCAGTGGTTGTCCCAGCTGACGAGAGAGAAGAAGAAACGGCTTTGTTTAATTCAGAATATCAGATCATCAGGGTAACGATCCTGGTGTGTGTGTGTGTGTGCGTGTGTGTGTGTGTGTGTGTGTGTGTGTGTGTGTGTGTGTGTGTGTGTGTGTGTGTGTGTGTGTGTGTGTGTGCCAGGCTTCATTATGAAGCTAACTGTCCTGGTTAAACAGCTAATCAAGCCTTATTGGGCCTCCTCGTTATCTAGAGAATTAATTGGAGAATTATCTCTGTAATGCCAATTAAGGGCAGCTCTTCGTAGCAGCTGAGGCTAATGAATGATAATGCTCTAATTAACGGAGCAGCTAAAGGTAACAGAGTCACCAGGCGTCTAATCTCTGGGAAAACAGCTGCCCGAATGAATTCACACACACTCACGTATGTGTGTGTGACTGGGTAGAACGCTCAGACGGAAACACACACGCGGATTTAGCTAAAAAAAAATAAAAGAATCTGGAAGAAGAGAAAAGCCGAAACACCAACAGATTTCATCCGGCTGCCTTCACCACACCAATAAACGGCTCTCTGATTCCAGCGTCTGTAATTAGATTGATAAATCCTGCTAACATGTTCCGATTAACCCGTTCACACAGGCTGCAGACAGCTTAACATAATGGCTCCGTTTCACACACACAGCCTGACACAAGTCCAATACTCTGATTACTCGTCTGGAACATTAAAGAGATGAAACGTAATTGGACTTAATTAAAACATAACTGATGTTTGGCTGGGTCTCGTTTTACCACAGGAGCTTTTTCGTGTTGCTTCACTGAGTGTCGTTAAACCAACAGCACAGGAACATTCCCAGTGATCCGGGCTGGAAACAGGAACAGGAGCAGGAACGGTAACATTTATTGTCGTCACCGATTTATCCTGTATTTGTCTCACCTTCAGACTTAGGGAAAATGAACAGAGATGGGCTCCATGCGCTCACCACCTCTGTCTGGATGTTTTGAGAGAACATTTGTTTAGCTGATTTTTGAGGAGCGCGTTCAAAATCCCAAAATCAGAATCTTTCACGAGAATGTTGAGAAAGTTAGAGACATTTTCAAAAATCCATATCCAACACAGCTCATTATTGGTTTTGAACTCTTACAGCCGAGTTAAACACTCGTTTTTGTTGATACCTACTCATCCACTCAGCCCTGTGACTACCTCCCTCCAAGGTGCAACGGCGACCTTTCCTCCATCGTTACATACGGTACATCGTACCGGGAGACAGAGGGGTGTCGGCATGGAACGTGTGTGTGTGTGTGTGTGTGTGTGTGTGTCTGTCCTGTCTTCTCCATCCCCAGTGAGTCGTGGCGGATGGCTGCCTATACTGAGTCGGGCTGGGTGATACGGCCTAAAAATAAAATCTCAGATTTTATTATTTTTTCTATTAGATTTACGACTTTTTTCCGATTCTCTCCCCCTCATTTATTAAGAATAGCAATAAGTACAAATGGAAGGCAACTTAAAGCCAAGTTTATTTTTTATTTAATCACAAGCAAGGCAAATGTAACGCTCATTTCCGAGATGAATAATGAACAAATGAACACCCTCTTGGAATAAAAGCGCCACGCTCCACGTCCGCCGCAGCAAACCCGAACCAATTCCAAACAACGGAGGATTTCATTCCTTTCTTAGGAACAAACTTCCCGCTCTCACCGGTGGCCACGGAGTCGCTTGCTGTCGTCGTTTCGTGTGTGTGTGTGCTGTGACGTTGTTGTCGTGGTTATATGAAACCAACGCTACGGAAGCTCCGGGGGGCCAAAAAGGCGCTATTACGTAAAAATTCTATTTTTTTTAATCGCCTGCAACAAAAAATTCAAATTCATTCATTAAATTGATTTATCGCCCAGGTCTAATACTGAGCCAGGATCCTCTGGAGGTTTCTTCCTGTTAAAAGGGAGTTTTCCTCTCCATTGTCGCTGCATGCTTGCTTAGTATGAGGATTGCTGTAAAGACTCCGACACTAGTCAGTGACTCGATGCGACCTGCTGGGTTCCTTATGTAGGAAACTTATAACTGATTGGCTTAATGACCTGCCCTACTGTAGTGTTTACTATGTGAAGGTCTTTTTTCCGGTACTGCGCTGCTCTGGGTGGCTGCATGTTGGAGTAGCGCTGTTGACTATATGTAAGTTTAGCCTTTTTTTGGACATTTTTCCTTCTAGTTTCTCAAGAAAAACGGTATTTTTTGGACACTTTACTTTTCTGTTTCTGGTGCTGTGAAGCTTGGAGGATTTTTACTGCTATTTTTTAGCTTTTTTCACTTTTTGAGCATTTGTTATGATGCGTAACCATGACAACAAGCTGGTTTACAATCGGGAGCAGCTGATTAACATTGGAAAGGCTGAAATAATACCTCAACTGAAGTCACAAATCCCAAATGAGCTAAAACGCAAGAAGCGTGGGTGCAGAGCGGGAGCAAAACGGAGACAGAGAGAGAGGAAATTCAAACCATCTCTTCCATCGATCATGGTGAGCAATGTGAGATCACTGGCCAACAAGATGGAGGAACTCCAAGCCCTTTCAAGGACTCAACCAGAGTTTCGGCAGTTTCGGAACCGCTGGAGGAGATAATGCAAAGAAGGATTCTCCAGAGAATCAAGAAAATGATGGACAACCCTGAGCGTTCTCTTCACAAGACTGTCCGACAACGGAAGAGTGTCTTCAGTCAGAGGCTTCTTCAGTTTGGCTGCAACACTGACCGCTACTGGAGATCCTTCCTGCCAACAGCCGTTGTAATATACAACAACTCTTTGATGACTTGATTATTATTATTATTCTGAGCTACTACAGCAATCAGTTCCCCTCTGGGATTAATAAAGTATTTTTGAATTTGAATTGAATTGAGACGACCTGTTGTGATGTGGAGCTTTATTAATAAACTGGATGTAACTGAATTAGAATCGAGGAGAAATTCTCACAAAGTAGTCGAGCTGACAGCTAATCACAGCAGGAACCATTAAAGAGCAGATTTATCAACTAAAACACACGTTTCATGACATCCCTTGTTTTAGGTTGTGCACATTCTCTCTTATTTAGGTCCTGCTTTAATTAGCTGTTAGCTCAACAGCTACATGACAGTTTCTCCCTTATTCTCCGGAGATTCTGACTGCCGCCTACTGCAGGTAAAACTCAGACTATCACCTTTATATAGGATGCATCCCGACTTCTATACACACAAAAAAATTCCTTTGAGATTTGAAACATTGCAAAAATATTCCCAATTTAGCCGTTTTGTAATTAAAGCAACTATTTTTACATTTATTTTCCTTCTGTCAAACTATTTTTGATCAACCTTTAACTTCAACGTGAACATTTATGTTTCTGACCACCAGCGTGTCTCAGGTGCTGCGGTGACGCGTTGCAGACTGGACTTAGATTTCCTCTCTTCCTCATCCTGTCGGTTTGGTTTCTCACTAGAAGCAAATGTTGAGATGGCTATGAACGTAGAAACTCTCCAAATGAGTCCTGGGTGTCAGCTGTGGTGTATTTTCGCTCACAGACACACCAAAGTCACGCTGATTGATGTCCGTCACGGGAAGATGAAAGGACGGCGTTGATCCGTACCCCGCAGCATCAGTTTGATCGAAGTAAAAACGGCTTTAAGTGAAATAGAGATGCAGCAGGGAGGAGAGGGTGAGGAGGGGGAGGATGGGTGTATGAAAAGGAGGGTGGGGGCGTGTTGGTGTGCTCCAAGGTCAAGCTTGTCATGTCAGCCATGACACATAGGTCCCAGCATGCCTTGTTAACCTCTAGCACCTCCCCCTCCTCTCTTCACGCTGCTGCTGTTTAAAACAGACACAGGGACGCCCTCTTTTCTGTTTCCATCTGAAAAATAATCAAAACATTTAAAAGCATCTTTTTGTTCTTTTTCTTTCTTGGAGTTTGAATTTTGTGTTTGAAGTCATCACTTCTAAAAAAGCTCAATCTGCCTTGTTTTACAAATAATCCAGCAGCAGCTCATCCCTTGAGTTTACAAACCGTAATATATTATTTAGGCTTTAACAAAAATTAAATGCAGCACAAGTCAAACTGCTGTTTTATTACCTCATTCGCTGCCAGTGTTTCTCACTGTTTCTACTGTTTTTTTAAGAGCCACAGAACGTTGCGCGCTAGGATGATGTCGACGCCAAAAAACCAAAACAAAGCGGAGACTCACGTCTTACATCAGGAAGAATCCGAGTGTTTCGAGCGTTATCCGTTCTTTCATAATCCGTTTTTGAATTGTGATCGGCAGAAGCTTTTCCGGTTCGCGCCTCACTTTTTTTACAGCAGCGGCCCAAAATGATCTCCTAACACATGGATGTTCTGCTTCCTGATCACGTGACGTGTGACGTATGCGGATGAAGATCGGCTTTAGAGCTGAGATGTTTGTTCACTCGGTGTGGGGGCTCGTCCGACGCCCACACGGTAAAAACATGCAAATGACAACTTTAGTCGTCAACGGCGGTGAACGAGTTAAGCAGAAAGAGAACACTGCAGCAGCATCATATGGCGTTTAAAGCGTGCCACAACCCGTGCACGCGCATTGGGTCCACAGCGCGCGTGTGAACGGGACTCGCGAGCGGAAATATACATGGCGAGAGGTCATTTGTGCACTGAGAGGGAGCAAACTGTGTCTGTGAGCGCACAAGGATGTGCACAAGTGACAAACCTGCGTGCGCGCGTTGTCAACGAGCACACGGCAGAGGAAAACGTGCGCGCGCGGCAGCCTCTGTGCGCGCTCGGCAGCCTCTCTGCGCGCTCGGTTTCTGACTCCTGCTCGCTCGGCTGTAAGGGTTTTGGCACTCTGGAGGCGTGGCCTGTGGCAGATCTCCTCTTTCCTCTGATTGGTTAGTGTACCCCGCACTTTACCCTCTACCTATCTATATAAAAAAGTCTACTGGTCAAGTAGTTGCTTGCATAGCTCAGTTGGAAGAGTGGGTGACTCTCGCCCCGGAGGATCCTGGTTCGAGGCCGGGCAAGGAAAATGCAGTAGATGT